TTTTTTTTGGGGGTGGGCAGGCCCCAAGGTCAGTGAAACCTATCTGTATAGTTTGTTCTATATGATTATACCTCTCATTAATTTATGTCCTCAGATTCCTGGTTTTAAATACTTTGTTGAAAAGTCTCATTCTTGCATGCAATAGGATTTATTTCTTATGAAGTTGTGGTGGTATTTTGTTATTATAAAATAATAGCAGTGACTGCTGTTATGACATAATCCATATTAAGTGTCAGGTGCTATGTATTTCGCTTTAGATGTTTGACCTACAGCATTTCATTTAATTCTTTCAGATATTGTGATACAAACATTTTTATAGCATGTATGTTGTACTTGAGAAATCTGGGGCTCAGAAAGTTTAATGTGAAGGCCAGAAACAGCCCCGCAGACTTGCCCCAGTCCTGAACTACTTACTCCATAGTCTACATAGGGTATTTTTTTTTCTGAAGTTTTTTTTTTTTTTTTTTTTTTAAAGACAAGGTCTTACTTTGTCACCCAGGCTGGAGTGTAATGGCATGATCTCAGCTCATGGCAACTTCTGCCCCTGAGCTCAAGCGATTCTCATGCCTCAGCCACCCGAGTAGCTAGAATTACAAGTTCATGCTACCATGCCTGACTGATTTTTGTATTTTTTCTAAAGAGAGTGTTTCACCACATTAGCCAAGCTGGTCTTGAACTCCTGGCCTCAAGTGATCTGCCCGCCTCGGCCTCCCAAAGTGCTGGGACTACAGGCGTGAGCCACCATGCCTGGCCTACATAGTGTTTAGATGCAAATTCCCTTTGATATGAGCAGATTTCTGGAAAGTGGCACATAAAATTGAAATGGTTAGATAAAACCATGCTTTAAAACCACTAAGAGCCTGCATTGTGGAAACCAGTGGTCAACCCAGGGCAGAACTAGCAAGTGATTAGAGGTTGAACCATAGAGTTGTCTTGGAGGTGTATTTACATAGTAAGCACAGTGCATTTGCCTGGGTTCTATTTTATAGATCAATACCATGGAAGCATTTTCTAAAGATGCTTTGTTTATTCTTTAAGACTGAGAAAGTAAGAATTGTCCATGTCAATGAATACGTTTATATATAATTTTTTTATGAATTATTAATTTTGGATACTTTTTGGAGGCTCATGAAGATTATTAAATCTTCCCCATTATGAAGTCCAATATCCTCTTTTTTATGTAAGTGATGTTTTCATTTCATGATCTTGGACATTTTTACCTGGACATGTCCAAATTTTCCTGCCTCTCTTTCCTTTAAAATATACCTGTTCAGCAAAAGACATAAACAGATACTTCTCAAAAGAAGACACAAACAGCCAACAAACATATGAAAAAAGTGTTCAGCATCACTAATCATCAGAAATGCAAATCAAAACCAAAATGAGATATCATTCCACATCAGTCAGAATGGCTGTTACTAAAAAAAATAAAACAATAGATGATGGTGAGGCTGCGGAGAAAAGGGAATGCTTATACACTATTGGGAGAAATACAAATTTATTACTTTAGGCACTATGGAAAGCAATTAGGAGATTTCTGAAAGAACTTAAAACAAATCCACAATTTAGCCCAGCAATCCCATTAACTGGTATAGATCCAAAATAAATTAAATAATTCTACCAAAAACAAGCATGCACTGATATATTCTGGATAAAGAAAATGTGGTACATATACACCATGGAATACTGTGCAGCCATAAAAAGGAATGAAGTTACTTCCTTTGCAACAACGTGGATGCAGTTGGAGGCCATAATCCTAAATAAATTAATGCAGGAACAGAAAACCATATACTATATGTTCTCACTTATAAGTAGGAGCTTAACATTGAGTACTCAGGGACATATAGATGGCAACAGTAGACATGGGACTGTCAGATAGGAGGGAGGGAAGGAGGAGGTCAAGGATTGAAAACTGTTGCATACTATACTTACTACCTGGTCGTGACAGGATCAATCATACCTCAAACCTCAGCATCACACAATATGCCCATGTAACAAATTTTCACATGTACCCCAGAATCTAAAATAATGAAATTATTTAAAAAATAAAATTAAAGTACAGAAGAGTACCTGTTGAAAGGGTTATGGCTAGCATGACCCGGAACACAGTTATTTCATCCAATTTATTTCGTACTTGTAAGAATAAAGTCAATTATGAAAGCTGCCCTTCCTTATAGATACCAAAGGTGTTTAACAGGCAAATCTGACCTTTGATAACAATGTTGCTTGAAGGTCTAGAAAAGATGCTATGAAATGATTCATAGCAAATGATAGACAAATTCATCCTCTCAGCAGTCTCTGAGTGCTCATTGTTCCTTTTTCCCCTCATGTCTTTTATCCAAAGTTCCCACGATCCAAAGAAGTTCCTTATTTTTCCATTATTGTTGAATGATATCATTACTAGATTTAGAGGATGAAGTTTCAGATTTCATTCTTAAATGTGATACCCACTAACTGTGAAGCCTTTGAATAAATCATGTTGCTTTTCTAAATCTCACTTTCTATATGTAAGACAATGATAACGAAACCACCCTATCTGTATCAGTAAGCTACCTGAGGCACTGTGTATAAAAATTCTTCTGCTAAAAAAATAAATAAGCAAGATTCCCTATCTCCATGTGCTCAATCTCTGTAAGTTACATACAGCAGGGCATACAATTCTTTTATGAGGGTTTGCTTTTAAAAAGCAACTTGCTGACCTAAATGATCTTAATTTGGTAGAATATAGCAGTGTGGTATGTGGCAAATGGGAGCATTGTTCCATATTTCTTAGGCTTACCTACTTTCGATTACTGTTTAATCTCATCCAGACCCCTACTCTTCTAGAAGTCAGAATTCAGCCTTCCAGAAACTTCACACTGCACTTCTAAAAGAATACCTAAACTTCAGGCTATATCCAGATTCATACAGGATGCTTTTTCTCTATTGTGGTAACACATGTCTTTCATTTTACAGTTTTAACTATTTTTTTGTTTTTGTTTTTTTTTGTTGTTGTTGTTGTTGTTGAGACGGAGACTAGCTCTGTCGCCCAGGCTGGAGTGCAGTGGCCGGATCTCAGCTCACTGCAAGCTCCGCCTCCCGGGTTCACGCCATTCTCCTGCCTCAGCCTCCCGAGTAGCTGGGACTACAGGCGCCCGCCTAGTTTTTTGTATTTTTTTAGTAGAGACGGGGTTTCACCGTGTTAGCCAGGATGATCTCGATCTCCTGACCTCGTGATCCGCCCGTCTCGGCCTCCCAAAATGCCGGGATTACAGGCTTGAGCCACCGCGCCCGGCCCATTTTTAAATATTTGTAAGTGTACAGTTGTATGATATTAGTGCATGTGCCTTGTTGTGCTACCATCACCACCATCTGTCCACAGAATTTTTCGTTATCTCCAATTAAAATTCTTTACCTATTCAACACTAACGTCCCATTCTCCCATCACTTAGGTCCTGGCAACCACTCAGGGTGCATATTTTAAAATATTAGCAGTGCTAGATAAAATAATGCTAACTCCTATAACAAATAAGCCCTAAAATATATAATGGCTCAAAACTATTTCTGACTCTAGAAGGTATGGAAGGGATGTTACTGATTGTCAGGCAGTTCTTTTCCCAGTTCTTCTCTAGAATTATTACAAATTTTGATTTTTCCATCATCTCCAATATGGCTTCTAAGGTCATCATACTTCCCTACCTCAAGACAACAGGTGAAGGAAGAGAACATGGTGAATTACCCATGTGCAGTTTATTTTAGGCCAGGCCTGGAATCAGCACATATCACATCACATACACTCAATCTCTTGCTGCGACTCAGTCATATGGCCTCAACTAGACTTCAGGGAAGCTGGGAAATATGGTTTAGTACATGAAGAAGAAATTTTGGGTTTGAGGATAAGCCAGCCAGTCTCTGCCATCAGTTATATTAAGAATGTAGATATGCCTAGGAATCATCATTCATTCATGCACTTAGAACTTTTACTTTTTGAAAATCTAATTTTCCCTGGCAGAAAAAGATATTTTATTTTAAATATGTCCAAAACCAAAACATATCTGAATGGCATAATTAAAGTGTACATATAATTCCACTGAGAAGCAAGAGATATTATCTAGATATAGAAACCTTGAGAAACAATTGAGAAGCTTAGAGGAAGTCACTTCTTCACTCAGTTAAATCAGCTAAATGTCCAATGAGGACATCTAGAATGTTCAGAAGCTCTAGAATTGTGTGTATCCTTAAAGAATACTTCAATAGTTATCATTTCTAAAATGTCAGCATCCATATCCAAAGGGTTTGTCATCTCTTAATATGCACTATAAATGCAACCATGATCAGTAGATTAATTCATTAGTTTGCAACACTGAGGAAGTTTTTAGTTGATGAATGTATTGATATTGAACACATATAGATGTGGCTTGAAGAGCAAAACAAACAGGCATATGTTACAGTTTCTGTTCACGCAGGAAGGAATCTACTTCCTTTCACTAATTGCACTTAAAGTAACCACAGGGACTCAGGCTCCATACATAGAACACTTAGCATCTGCGTTTTCCTTTCACACAATGAGAGAAAATGCATAAATGCATTTGTTGGCAATACTGACAAAGACCGATTTGTGGAATAATTGAAACCTTGATTTCTGTCATTAGCCGGATGTTTACAAAACCCATCTTCCTGTCTACATTCCAGATGTTTCTCCTTATTTTAATAGCTCTTTGTTTTTCATGGGTTTTGAATTCCAAATTTTAAAGTGTCAAGCAAAAAGACTTTAGTTGGCAAGTTTCATGGAGAATGACATAAGCTTAAACTTCCCAGAATTCTTGCAACATTTATCTGTAGGTCCTTCCAATTAGCTTATTTTCTGTAGAAAGCCTGAGGTCTTGAATTATGTCCTAGAGTCAACATTAGATGACTGAGCAACCCTTTGGTTCACCTCACTACTCTTGCACATCAGATACAAATTTTGGCAGGAAGTATTCTTTTTGGAATAATCTTTCTCTGCAACTTTGATTTCTCAGGGAACGAGCGTTGAATACAACACAGCCTGGGTCCCTTCAGCTCACCGTGGGAAACCTGAAGCCAGAAGCCATGTACACCTTTCGAGTTGTGGCTTACAATGAATGGGGACCGGGAGAGAGTTCTCAACCCATCAAGGTGGCCACACAGCCTGAGTGTGAGTATGAAAAGGAACGGGCCACATTTAGAAAGTGTTTATTTTCCTCTGCAGTATGCTTGAATTCTTTCACAGAACCTTTGCGAGGTGACAAAAATGCAAGAACGTTTCTTTTAAGTAACCTATGTAACTCAAGGACTTTTAAAAGTAAGATGACTTGTAAATAGAATGGCCTCTTCACTTAGGCCATGTACCGTAATGGCAAATTAACCTCTATAAAGGCCTAATTTATCTATGCAGTCTACATATTCATTTCCTAAGAAAGTGATCTACTCTGCCTGACAGTATTGTAGCATCATCGTTGGGTTTCAGCCTCCTCTGTTGAATTTTCAGATCTTTTGAATTTGTAAAGAGTGTAACATCAAAGGTAAAAGAACAATAGCGTACAACTTCTAAATTCAGGGACTAATTTAAAAGCGTAAACACGCACCATATGCACTGAAAAAACTACTAAAAGCAAATTGAGACTTGAGGAATATGATAGTCTCTTTTGTATAATCTCATTTTCCTCTACCTTGAATCACTAGATTCAGCTATTTTTTTTTTTTCACAAAGTAAAGCAGCTGAATGTTCTTTGATCAACATATAATTCAATGATTTCTACTTTGGTAAAGGAAGAGCTCCAAAATTGCATATTGAAAGCTATTTCTGTATTTGACAAAATTTTGTTTTTTCTTGTGCATTTCAAATGTTTTTTGACAAGATTAGTTGCTGATGAGCCATTCGCCAAATTTGTTTTGTTTCATATTTAAAAAAATTGGAATTTAAAATCAAAATGAAATGCATGGCTACTTGTTAAACATCTAACTGCACCTATTTCCTTTTTATATAAATAAATTTATAATGATATTTTGTTTTCCTCTTCATTTTACGTGAAACTGTATTTAACTTCAAAATCACCTCTTGTATTTTGGGAATAAGGTGAAGTAGAGATTGGAAATATTTTAACTGGTAATTGTGAGAGAGTAACCTTTGTATTCTGTCACTTCTTGGGTGGTTTCAATCAGCATGTCAAAGAAGAGAGAACAGGAGATACAGTCTGAGTGCACTTTCGACAGAATCTCCATCCTTTATTTCATTTGGCCAGGGCTACAGACACAGGATGATAACAAATCAGAATAAAGTATTAATTGAAGGGAGGGAAGAGGGCTAAGCTGTACAATAGTACAAATTTTGCCTCACAGAAATAAAAGCTCAGCAACTTCAAAAGCATAGTCATGTTGAGGTTACAGACAATTATTTGGAAATGCGGGCCCCCAGGCATAATAATAATTTGTAGGATCCAAATAATTTCTGTTTGCAAAGTAAAACCACAGGGGCACATTGTTAAAAATTATGAACATTATGGGATGGCTACAGCAGAACATGAGGCCTTGCACAACTTCCCTCTTTGCTGCCCACGGAGCTGGTCCTGCTCCCAGATTTCTCTTCTGGACAATTTTTTGTTGCTGTACTGAGTTAAATCACTAGACAGTGCAAATTTCCCCTTCATAATGTCTATAGTAACATAATATTTCAGTCTTCTTTTTTTATTTTTGGGACAGAGTCTCACTCTGTTGTCCAGGCTGGAGTGCAGTGACACAATCTCAGCTCATTGCAACCTCCGCCTCCCGGGTTCAAGCGATTCCCAGCTAATTTTTGTATTTGTAGTAGAGACAAGCTATCACCATGTTGGTCAGGCTGGTCTTGAACTCCTGACCTCAAATGATGCCCCTGCCTCAGCCTCCCGATGTGCTAAGATTACAGGCATGAGCCACTGCGCCCGGCCCAACATTTGAGTCTTCAATTGCTTTAATGACTTTCTCTTCATAGATCATCTATGTAAAATCAATAACATTTATGACCATTTTGTATTTTTGGTTAAAAACAAATTAAGCTATATATATATATATATATCACACTCTATATATGTTATATGCCATGTGGTAGATAGGTCAGCAGTTTAAAAACTTAAAGAAACTCTTGGTAAATTTTCTAATACTGGAACTAACTTTAAAAGCATGCTTATTTTCAAAAGATCAAATCTCTGTGAATTAACTGAATTTTTCATCTCCTAGTTATAAATTATCATACAATTGTTATACTGTACTTTTCAGAGCTGACTAGTCATAATTACATTGCACTTCTGATAAAAATCCTGGTTGGTTAACCTTGCTTTGTAAGAATGAGCATTTTTTTTTTCTTTGATCAATACTATTGTTTCTAAGCATTCAACTCAAAAAAGCAATTTTCAGCGTTTTAATTTTTTTTTTTTTTTTAACACCAACATTCCCAAGCCAAGGGACAGTAAAGTGTTTTCCTTTTTGACACTGGCTAACAACACTCATTCCATAAAAAATTATAAAAAAAATAAAAAACTATGATACAATAATACAATATATTCTGCTTTTTTAAATATAATTAAGTTAAAAAGAATAATGATTGTATCACACATATGGCCTTAACTTTGTAAAACACAAACAATGACATAATTCATAAGTATGTTTAATGAACATGTATTATATTTCTAACACTGTTTCAGGCTGCATGAGGCATGTTAGAAAAGCATACGTGAGTAATAAAGCAGCAGTATTTATGGATCTCAGCAGATTTGGGGGGAAGCAAATATTTTAAATATGCAACAATAACAAAACAACCTAAGTAGGCGAACTTATAAGAAGTTGGTAAATGGAATACAAACAATCTGAGTCACAGATTTGCTCGTGGGCCCGTGACCTGTGATGGCTGCAACATATTACCTAGTTAATTTCTTATGCCCAAATTGTACTGCATCCACCTCCTCCAATCAGTCTTGTAATCCAGTTACAATGACAGCCACCTCTGTGCTTTATATATCACACATTCCTTCCCATTCAGAAAGCAGTGTGAAATATGTGTGCAGAGGACCTCACTGGACCCAAGTCTCTATAAGCATTTACTTTGCTTAACTATTAGCGTAAATGATAAGGTACACAATAACAAAAGCACAATTGAATAAAACATGTTGATTGTTGGTATTGTTGTCACATATAAATTATATTCTCTAAGAAATGAAAATGAAGAATCTTTCTGCTTTAGAAACATGATGCAGCCATGAGTTTTTTTCATTAATGGCAGCAATAACAGCCTTAGAATGCTAACCATATTTTGGCCTTTAGTAACAGCATTGTTCTATTAAATTACCCACTTTCTTACCAATATATGAAATAAGAAGAATTTCTTTTGCAGATCACTGTTTTATTTGCACTATAACTTGATTCTGTTTCATTGAACATTGCCATTGGATAATTCATCCCTTACTGAGTAGATAAGTAGTTAGGAATAAAGTAGCCTGCATAAACAAGATATTCAGAATATCCTTTACATGTGCAAAAGAGTTAGCCAATTCCTTCAATTCGTGTGTATTGAGTACTGCTAAACTCACTTGCCGTCTTTCTTACAGACATTAGAATAAATAAATAATATTATCATAAGTGATAGGCATTGCATGTGTATTTTATCTTCTGTTGGTAACATAAAATGCCATTTTGGCAATTTGAAAGTATTTCTAGGATAAGAAGCACTTACTTCATCTTCTCCAAGCCCGCTCAGTAAGACACCAATTACTGAAGAAGATGGAATATACCAGAGATCCTACGGCTCCTTTCCATTCCTTTTCTTTCCCATTCCTTCCTCCCATGCTCCTTCCCACCATCCTTCTTCCCACCATCCTTCCCTCTTTGCTATAAGCCCATCTTTCTGTCGTTAAGAGAAAATGTGAGGGCTATTTTATTACTTTGCTAGACTATCAGAATTTAGAGGCAAGATCAAGTTAAAGAAAACATTTTCATCAATATCTCTTTTCTGACAAAATGATCTTATCTTTTGAAAATGGGTCTCAGGTGAGTATGTGTTTGGTTGCTGCTTTTATCAATGTTTTTCCAAATGTGATGTGGTAATTGTACACTAAAATTGCATAGCTTGTATACAAATTGAATTTCAAGTTTTTCATATTATTTGAAAATATCAGGTCTATTATACAAACCACATTCACAAAGAATAAAACTGATGGAAAATATGTCTGAAATATAGATCAGCCCGTAACTGTTTCTAAAAGTGCATACATTTTGTGGTAATCATTTAAAGAGATCAGCAGCCCAAGATCCAGTTTATGAAATAATCACTCGAAATAGAAAGACTTGATTTATACGAAGGTTTGTGTCCTCTGATGATATCTTCTTTTTGCTAAACCCTTGCCCATTCTCCCTGCCTTTATGATGTATAATTTCTCTACCGTATTATCAGCCAGGATTTAAGTCCCTGTCTGCTTAAGACTTGTCTAATCTTTTCATACCACATGTGGAGATTTTTTGAATTATTATTTGCAGTCCTTTAAGATCCTGTTAAGGCAGTTTAATCATAAAGGATGTTAAAATGGACCACATACTGGCTTGAGGGCTTGAGTTAGAATCAGAAGCCTATTTGCAAGACCACAACTCAATTATCTACAAAACTCTTTTATATTTAAGAGTTGTAAGTAATATTCTTAATCTATTATATTCTTTACACTAAAAAGATGAGTGAAAGCAACCCACCAAGTTAAGTGACTTTAGAATATATTATCTAGAGGAATAGCCGTATTTGCTTCTTTCTTCCTTCATGAGATTTTAAAAATTCTAATAGGGCTCTACTTGTATGGTTGTTAGGAAGAGAACAGAGAAGTTCAAATAATGTCTCTGAACATTACTACCTGTACCCTAGGGCAAGTTTGTCAATTATTGAGACCTCAGTTTCCTGAACTATAAATGGGAGTATCATTTATTCTTCTTCTTCCTAAGTTGCAAAAATGAAATATGATAACACATGGGCAGTCACTGTGTCTTGCCTGACATCTCAATTTAAAAAAAAGAGAAAAGCTCCCTAACTCAATGGGATCAAATAAGAACATAATTTCAACTGCTCTACATTTACAAACAAAGTGGGATACTCACCAGGGTAATCAGTTGGGTAAATAAGGCTAATATAATACCTCGTTTATAGTT